CTTTTTCATTTTTCCTTAAACATGCTTCTTCAACCAGCACCTGAAGACCCAAAAGCCTCTGTCGATTGACTCATCTCACTAGCACATTTCCGAAAGAGTCGGGTGTTTCTCCTGGAAGTGCAGCGATCAGCCCCTTACCCTCTGCCGTTCCCGAGGACCTTCCCGATCTTCCTCACGCTTTGCACGGCTCATTTTTGAAAATGCATCAGGGAGAAGTTACGCAGACACTGCCCGAGCGATGGGACAGGCAGCTAAGGCACCGAGAGAGGGGAAGAACTCTTCCTTGTCCTCTCTCACGGGGTGCACGATGAGCTGGAAGAAAAAGAAAGCCCAAGGGGAAGGGCAGCCCCTTCCCATCCGAATTAAGGAATTAAGGAATTTTGCAACCTAAGGCCAGGACTAGGACATAATGCCAGGGTGGGGGCTACAAGCGTTCACAAGCTGCGTTGAGCTCAGCACTCTCCACATTAGTCCATCCTTTGGGTAAGGACAGCGGTCACCTTGGGCTGCGCCATGCTCTTTCAAGGACAGATATACGTCACAGCAGAAATAGCAATTAATACCAAATTAATGCCCCCCCCGCGCAGCCACTGTGACTCTGAAATATTACCTTCGTTAAAACAAACAAACAAACAACCCAAAACTGCCACAGACCGTCTGACTTCACGCCTGCGATCCTGTCTACTTCGGAGGGATTACATGGACATTATTAAATTCAAGACTGGGTCCCTTTAATTGTTTATGTACTTTTTAAGGTTTTAACTTAACCACAGTTCAGCAGCTAAAGCATTTTCAAACCAGGTGGAAAGTCATTACCCTTTCACAGCCATATTAAAAAATAATATTTATTTATAGGGATGTTAAGTAGGGGTGGAGCATGCAAAGCTTTATCTTCTCGTGATTTAAGTCCCAGGCAGCGTTCAGTTTGGACATTACACCAGATGGATTCCAGAGTGCAGCTCAAGGTCATCTAAATACTGTGTGTTCTGCTCCAAACCGTAAGCACGATCATCACGAACCACACAAAGCCATCAACAGAAATTTAATACACTGTCGGAGACCTGGTGATCTTCTGAAAGAGCACTTCAAATGCTTCTTACTCTCGAGCGCAAGGACACAAATAGCCCTTGTTTAAAAGTGATACAGTAGGAAGGAAATCTCCCTGCACGTCGGTATCGTAGGAAAAGTGCATTTACGCCGGTGCTTTGTAAATACGCGCTTTGTCAGAACGAGTTGTTCCACAGCCAGGTGGTTCGTTTCACGTTGTCTTGTTCCAGGCAAGTGAAGGCACTCACCTGCAACCGGAGAGGGAACGCTTGCGCTCACAGAGCTACACCACAACAGGGTTCTGTGTACCAGCTAGCGGATAATCTATTGCCAAAACAACAGAAGACATACGGACCTGACCTTACTCAGAACTCCCCCCCCCGCCCTTTTTTTTTTTTTCTTAAACCACTTATACTCGAGTAATAATTTTACCACGTTGCAGGATTTAAGACGTTTTAACAGAAAAAAGTCACTAACGAGTAATACGTAAGCGGGTGTCAGCCACTATTTTTAACACCGCGTGCTCCAGCACAGCGCCCTGCCTCCAGCCTCCTCCCCACGCTCCGGCTTGCTGCCGGAGCCGGCTCAAGGGGACGGCTTGACCTCTACGGCAGGGGGGCCCGCCCCCCCGGCGGCGGGCCCCACCCTGATGTTTAACTGCGGCACAGAACACGGCTTGTTAGGCGCAAAAAGCCATGTTACACATTTAAAAGACAGGTCGTTGACTACCTCTCTGACACGGAAGACAGACTGTTTTACGCCACAGCGCAACGCGGAGGTTGTCTAACGTTTCTTACACTATTGCTTTTGTCTGCTGTCTTTGATGTAGCCATTCACCCTTCCCTGACCTTACATTTTGTTATTTTTAAACACCTTTCACTGCCATAGCTCGTATCACCTGGAGTTCCTACTTTTCCTGCCTAGGATTTCTCGTGCCTCCTCCGCAAAGGCAGTGCTCCGAAGTTTGGGAAGTGCCAGGTTAACCAGACCACGCTAAAGACTAAATCGAACAACAAGGAAACACTTCCGCTTGTCCTTTTTACCTTAGAGCAAGGCAATTAGCCCTTCTATCAGGACAAAGCCAGTATTTTCCAATGAAATCCAGTTTTTCTGGAACAGAAGGTCTAAAAGACTAATGGATTAGTCCACTGAGCCATTACACCTGCTGACTTGAACTAATACCACATTTCCAATGCGCTACGGAAATGATGCGGGAACGCGTATTTGGGAAAGAAGATTTAGCAAAGTAGTTAAACTCAGCACGCTTAGAGCTTTCCGTGTAGATCTGTTAAGTGTAGCTTTTCACAAAGGATAGGAACCTTTTATATATCTTGAGGAAACGGTGAGACCTCAGATCACTTGGAAATTTCAAAATATTTGTTCCTCCAATGACTATTATGTAAACCCAGTACAGAGCCTCGCTGAGGAATCATTCTCTATGTAGGTCAGGAAAAGGAAAGGCAACTTGTACGTAGTCTTGCAAGGGACAAAAGCGGATACAGAAATTGAAGTATATTTTTTTACTTTTCCTGCCTGTTCCCCTCAAGCAGCAACGGATTTTTCCAGATGTAGAGAAAACAGCATTTGCAGATATGTACAAAAGTTTATTTTACAAACAGCGACTACTTTTGAATAACAAAATTGCAAAAACATAGACCAACATTAGAAAACCAGCTCAGGGGTACATTTTCTATCTGAAGCACAATTTAACAGAGTTCACTAAGTAAAAATACTCCCCCCTCCTTCCCTCACACCCCTCCCCAGCCATTTACCAGATGGAATTTCTTTATAAAGCTTGAATTCAAGATATGAAATAGACATCAGTGACATTGCAGTAATTTTGGACAACTACAATTAATTGCTTGACCGGATTTCTATTACCTTTTCCCGGCCTTCAAAATAAAAAGTCAACTCAGATCTGAAATATGACAAAGTCCGATTCTGGAGCAATTTTTTCTCTAATAAGTATTGAATGGCAATGTTTATATTTGTGTGTTTTGTTATACCACTAGCCCACTAGTTCTATTTTCTCAGTAAGGGAAAAAACAAGTTATATTTGTACTTAAAACTATGAAACTGCAACAAACATTATCTTGAGTTAGCAATGAAATATTTGTTCAGGACTCTAAAATGGCTGCTACTGTTGGAAACGTCTCTGTAAATATGTATACCGACTTGAGTAATAGATGTACTTCATGTTAAAAAGCATAAGCAGCTTACAAAATATTGATTCGAAAGGATTACGTGCACACACTTTTTCACTGAATTACAAGAGTAAGAAGGGTGTGAGTCCAGAATTTTGGGTTCTTCTAGAAAGTGAAAAACCTAGATGACAAATTCAGTTTTAGGAACCTGCATACAAATGTCTTATTCAGCTGTTCGTGGACAGAAACGGAAGGCGTCATTACAGTCTCCAAATGTCACTCTGAACTTTCTTTTCATGTTTCAGAAGTGTACCAAAAGCTAATTTTGGATAGCTTAATTCAATCAACGAGACAGTATGAATTGACGTCTAAGCAAGAAATTACCACTTTTAATTTTCAAAGCTGTTGGGTCCTGATGAGATTTAAAAAAAAAAATCCATTTTCAGTATTCGAAAAAACATTTGAGAAAATGAAAGCAATCTCAAGATATTACAGAAAGTCAGTAATGAAAACTATTATAATACAACAGTACTCATTAGCTCTAATAAAGCTATGTTAGTCTGTTTTATCACTACAGACCCCTCTTTTCAGGTTACATTATGCCATTAAAAAAACCCCTGTTTCTTAGTACACAGCTTTCTAAACACTGAAAAACTTTACAAGTTATTTGAAATCAACTCAATCAGAATATTGCAAAAATTACTCAATGCTCTTCAGCTTAAATCTATGGGTTTTTTGCAAACCGTTTACCTGTAACATGGAGGCATTTTTGGTATTAAACTTTACTTTGAAAGTATCGTCCATGCTTTTTATCAGGCATCCCAGTATTTTTGTAGTTGTATCACTTTAACAATATATAGTTCAGTATCTGCAATATCAATATCCGATATGCCCTATGGCAGATGGGATACATCTACAGACATTTTATAAAGGAACCATTATGGTTTGTTTTCTCAAAAAATCATCATGTAAGTTTTTTAAAAAGTGTTTTGAACAAACTCATGATATACCCAACAGTTTACAATATTCAACATCAAAATGTGTGTTGAAGTATGCCAAGCACTGTAATATGAATTGAAACAAAATTCAAAAGTGTTTAGAAATGCTTTTTTCAGACTCTTAAGAACACTGCTGTTTTTCACAAAATTCACTTTTAAACAGAAAAGTTTAGACAAGTTGGATATTAAGATCAGAACTCATTCATCACACTTTTGCTCACTGCTTGTCAGTTTGACAATTCCCATTGTGCCTAATCTCACCCTATTCAGCAAGCTTCTGTAATATCACAGTACAGCAAGGATTAAGACAGAGTGGCAGTCTTTGTTTTCATCACCTAGCTGTTGTGTATACACTGTGTACAATGCAATAATCAACAAACAAGACAGCATGGAACCCATCTTCCAGCATTAAAAAAAGCATTTTAGTAAACTAGAAATGGCAGCCTTTGTAAGAAGTTTTCTTCACAGTTTTATAGTTGCTAGCATATATTCAATAGCAACGGGCAGAAAGCCCTACGGTGTTTATAAACACACTTGAAGACAGTACTGATTGCTGCACCCAGAAAAGCGGTGGCAGCAAATTCACCTAAGTGTCATTCATGGCTTGGAAAATCCGATTCAAGGAAATAAAACTGTTTTTTTTTTTCCTATTTTGTAAAAGTAGCATTTGACGTTAAAAAAAACCAAAACCAAACAAAACCAGTTGAGTCAAGCTCAGTGCTTCTCTCTGTAAGTATACAGTCAGTCAAGCGAGTTCACTGTTAAATGGTAAAGTTTCAGCTAACTTGGTAAACACCCTTCAACTTCACTTGTGACACTGTCAAAACAGGTTCTTTTAACATAACACTGAAAAAAATATTAAATACAGTTTCCATCGTCAAAGAAACGTTTTCAGCTGTATCTGCTGCTTTCACTGGGACTTCGATTGTTAGAGTAACTGCGATCACTTTCACTGTCAGAGCCGTAAGATCTACAAAGAAAAGATTAAAATGCCTCAAAATTGTATTTTGAGCTTCAAATTCCAAATTGCATCATGTAAAAAAATTGTCAAGACAGATACACGCGAAACAAGAAGAAAACATACAAGAAGTCTTTTACAGGATCATATTTCTTATAACTGAAGTATTCATTAAGGGACACTCAAAATTAAAATAATCATTAACTTTACATGATGAAAACCCTGCGTAACTCAAATCACACTGTGTTTGCAACTATAAAGTTTCTTGCTGTCTCCGATACAGCTAAGAAATCATCCCAAATAACTGTTTTTGTAAATGCAAATAGCTGACTGAGAAGTATACTCTAACAAATACAATTTTATATTGCAAGCGTTCCTCGACTAAGATAATTTGACAAATCCTTGCTTTATATATTGCAGTTTTTTGTTTGAAGAAGGGTCTTAAAAATTAGGCCCCATAACAACAACAGGAGTGTGTGAGTGTCTGCAGAGTGGAAGTTGTAGATTAAAATGTTTTGGCTTAACCAGAAGAATTCCAAGCTCAGCACCTAGCCAAACATCAAGACAGAGTCCAGATGGTTTCAGACAAACCACAGGACATATTCAAATTACACAGAATAAACTTTCTTTAGAGATTTTTCTAGCCTCGTGCCTGTAAGGAAAGCTTTCTAAATGAAAGATGAGCGTATCCTAATCCAACACTGTTTCTCTGAAGCTTCCCAACATCCTAAAACAATGATTTTGTAAGTCTATTTCCACACTCTTTGTTAATCTCATTAATTTCCACTCAAACACAAGATGAAAGTTGTCTTACTGTCAGAACTAGATGAGGAAATGGGTGAGAGCAGAGTCCATTAAGAGTTGGTACGAAGTTGTAAAAAAATAAGTATGAGGACAGCAGAGGATGAAAATTTACGGTAGTCACGAGATCTGCCTGATTTACCACTGACTAGTACGGGACATAGTAAAAGGTACAAAAGAAGTCACCACCAATATTCACTACATATATATAGAAATCTCTCCCCCCCCCCATCTCCTGTTCCACTTCTGATCTTTGTGAAATGTGCTCACTTACACCTGCATAATTCCCCTGGACTGAGTAGAATAAAGTTTATCTGAAATTCATCAGAAGCACACTGGTTTTGCAGGTAAAAAGTTCTTTCAAAATATGTTCTAGGAAGTCAAAAATTAATTCTGGATAGCACTGCAATTTTTAATTTCCCTTGCAGGTTTTTTTTTTTTTAAATCCACTTTTGCAGTCTAACCAAAAAATTTGGTTACATCCAATGGAATTCTTTGCATACCACGTAGCTTTTAATCCATAATAGGGCACTTGATTTAAATCTTAAGCTAGTTCACTGTAGTTTTTAAGAAACATTTAAAATTATTAAAAAACCCAAACATGCTTATTTTGAATGCATACATACAATGAACTGGAACCTTCTCAAATCTTTCTTATCCTAGTTTCTTCCCCTTCTTCATCCTCAAATTTAGTATGTCAGAAATTCTGATTTCCTCACTCACACACTTGCTGTAATTTTAATTGTTTTAATTATTACTTTTGGTAACAATGTATTTTTTATACTTGGGGGGAGGGAACCCATTAGCCTTCATGAACATCCTAAGTATATATTTAGCAAATTCTTTTGCATAAATACAGTGTCAAAGTCACACTAGCAAAAACATACCTGGATCGCCTATCATAACTTCTAGATCTTCGATAGCTGTCACTCCTTTTACTTCTACTTCGACTTCTGCTATAGTAACTATCATACGTGTATGACCTACTTTAAAGGGAGAAGAAAGTAATTGTAAATTTGCAATTTCTTGTCCAAAATGCTATTTATTTTAAATGTATGTTTTAAAGACATTTATATACAGAGATGAGTGGCTATATAGAAATTACTTTTGAAGGATGTGGCAAACAGAATAAGTCTACATTTTATACAAGAACAAGTATCTTCAAATAGTAAAAATCTCAAATTTATTAGTCTAGAAAAGACTTACTAAGCATTTAAAAAGTTTTGCGTTTCCTCTACAAATTGTAGATGCAGTAAAAATCTTGTTTGCTAATACTTTTGAAAACAAGTAACAAAGCGATTCCATTTATAACTCAATTTTATTTTAACAATAAAGGGAAATGTGTTCACTATTACTTATCTCGTATCATCACCTATAACTGTAATGCCAGAATGATTTGGTTATTTTCAGCTTTTAAAAGCGTCTTATGTTGATTTTGCTTTGATTCAAGTTGCTATCATGATATTATATTTTTAAGTACCATAGATAAAGGGGTATTCTTATACGAAGTTATTTTTTATAAGTACATTTATTGCAGAGTTTGTATAAAACTATAATCCATACCTGGATCGACTGTGATGACCGTAAGAACTACTTCTCGATCTACTTCTACTATAGGTTCGACTGACAAAAACAAAAGCACAGAGACATTTTAAGTTAATCAGAAACAAGTGCTAAAGGGAGCGGGAGGAGAGGGGGAGCGAGAGGAGGGGAACATGTTTTGCTCAGAATTCCTTACCCATACTACAAAACATTAAACAAAATTATTTTTCAGTAACAGCAAATTTTGAAATCTGACTATTCCAACTTGCACATTTCAAGTAGATACTGCAGTATGCAGTATTTCAAGTAGAGACTGCAGTATGCATAGCTAAGCACATTTCCAGCTCGCTCGGAGACTGAAGCATCGGACTGCTGTGCCTAATTTACTGGTTTTGCAATGCACCCCAACGCTATCTCCAATTAGAGCTACTTACTTACCTACGACTCTTGTAACTGTGGTAAGAACTACTTCGACTTCTTGAGCGATCTCTACTATACCATCCTCTGCTTCGGCTTCTTGTATAACTTCTTGACCTACAATCAATGAACAACTTTGAAAAGCACAAAAATGGAATATAACTGAAGAGAAAAGCAGCAGAAAACAGGAAGCAAATGCATTATAAAGCTTTATCTTTTAAGCTAAATATTTATTCCATGCTTGCTAAATGATACAGTGCTGTTTAAAAGAAAAACGTGAGTTGAAAAAGAAAAACATGCCTTAAAAATATCAGAACATTCAAGTTAACACAGTAGGCTGTGGGAATAGCACAAACTTCCTACCTATATGAATATGTAGAACTTCGGGATCGACTTCTTGAGTGACTGTAAGATATGGACCTTGTTCTGTGTCTGGATTTAGGTTCAGATTTACTTCGTGACCTACTGAGACTCCTGGACGGGCTATTGTCATCTCTACTTGGAGATTCTTCCTCACTGGAACTTTCTTGGTTCCTTGGCCTTCGATTTAGCCGTGCTGTTTTTCTAACTTCATCAAACAGAGATCCAGGCCTTACTTTATTTTTGGCTTTTATTTCAATTCTTAAACCTGCTGGTTTAGGCTCAGGTGCTGAAGCTACGTTCTTAACTTCTGTGGCAGTACTAATTGTTGCTGGTTGTAAGTTACCAACACCTTGCAAAGGCTTCCATTTATTATCTATCATATTGCTTTGTGTATTTTCAGTAATTTCACTTTTTAAACTACAGTCTTTAGCACTAGACGCAGGGACAGAGTTATTTTCTTGCCTTCCCGTTTCTTTTTCTTCTTTAATATTAATAAAGTCTATGATATTGTTTCCTAGTTTGACAGCATCTTGTTCAGGGGTCTCAACCTGTAAATCTTTGTTTATGCTTGCACTTAAAGCCTGAAGTTTAGCAGTGAGAATGACAGGAGTCAAAATGTCCACATCAACCTTCCCTGGTGAGTTACGATCTGGAGTACAAATCTCCATGTTGTCATCTGTCTGAATAACATCTTCCAATCCGTTCTGGTTACTTTCTTCAGCTTGTTTAATCTCATTCTTGCAAGCGGTCACATTTATTCCTGAGTTTAAAATACTGGCTGAAGTGTTTGTTTCGATGTTATCTTTATTAAGGTTACTGCGATCTGGTGAGGCATCGCACGTAGTGTTTTTACCTAAAAGGTTTTCATCCGCACAAGACTTTTCACCATTTCCCATTTTATCTTTGTCTATTTCATCCTTTTCATAAACTTGTTTTCTATCCTTTATGTCCCTGGTTAGCTGCTTTTCTTTATCATCCTTGGTAACCGGCTTTTCATTTATCTCATCATCATCTTCTTCACCAAACTCCAGGGGGGGCTGCCAATGAAACGTTTCTTTTCTTTTCTGAACTTTGTGTTTCTTCTCCTTTTTCCCTTTTGATTTTTCTTTTGCTTTTTTGGCATGTGATTTTTTAAGAGTTTTTTTCGATCCATGTTTGTGTTTTTTTGACTTTCCTCTAATGTTAGTTGAGCTAGAACAAGAACTGTCAGATTCAGAAGATGACAACTGTTTGCTTGTCTTCCACGTACAATCAGAATCCAGAAAGCCGTCTGAAGAATTTGATTGTTTTTTTATCCTTTTGGTAACACTAAGCTCCGTGTCAGAGCCTGATGTGGCCTCTCCTTCTTCTTTACTAGAAGAGGGTCTGGAATCTCCCCTATTATGCCTTGCCTCTCCTCTTTCGGAATTTGATTCAGAGTCCCATTTACTACCTGAATAGGATTTTCGTTTAGTTTTTGCACCACCTCTAGGTTGCTCAGAAGATTTCTCCTTAGCTGCTTGCTTTTTAGCATGATCAGAATCCCGCTCGCATTTGGATTTCTCCTCCCCTCTCTCAGAACTTAAGCTATTTTTATCCTGTTTCTGAGTATCTCCTTCTAATTGAAAACGGCCTTCTTTTTCTTGGACTACTTTCATTTTGGCAGAACGCTCACTGTCAGTAGAGAAGTCTGAAGATGATAAACTGTCAGTCTCTTTCAATCCTTGAGAAGACTCATCGTAGTCTTTTGTACACTTATAAGGGAGAGTACTTTCAGAGCTCGTTTCTTGCCTCAGTTTAAGAGACCGAGCATTTTGATCGTTTGATGCAGATTTTCTTTTGTTTCTGTGTCTATCATCATCACTAAGGGAATAATAAGATGTCGACTCACTATAACCTGACCTGTCACTGCGGTATTTACTCGGTGATGGCGATCTGCCAGAAGAACGAGATTTTGTCCCAGAGCTAGATGGACTTCTAGATCTCGTATAAGATCTTGAGTACGACCTACTGCGAGAAGACCTGCTTCTTGATCTTAGCCAACTGTCTGAGCTTCTGTCACTATGATATCTGGAATAACCGCTTCGATCGCTATCTGAACTCCTTTGTCGCTTACAGTATGAGGAAGAAGTGTTAGCCTCTTTAATAACTACTAAATTGTAATTAGTTTGTGTGGGTATTAAATGGGTTGTTTTAGCTTTCATTTCCTGAATTCGCTCGTAAGATGGCTTCCATGGTTTCTGCCCAGGTTTCCACCTTGAAGGCGGTGGGCTGTCACTTAAGGGTATAACAGGGAGGTTTTCCGGGACAACTGGTGGTACGACAACTTTATCACTGGGGAGTATAACTGCTCGTACAGGCTCAGCAGTCTTGTTCAACTTACTTTCATTTAATCGTGTTGAAATATTTCGTGGAGAATTGGAAACTGTCTTTTGATGCCTAGGGTTAGAACTCGACCTCGACCTACTTCGAGAACGCGATGATTTAGAGGCTGATCTTGATCTAGAACTTCTTCGGGAATAAGATCTTGATTTAGACCTAGATCTGGACTTGGACCTGTAGTATGATCGAGTCCCTCTACTTGATAAAGTCGATGAACTCTGTTCTTCCTTATCAGATTTAGACCAGTCTCTTCTGGATGAATGTCTAGAAGACAATGAAGAAGAACGAGATTTCCTCTCACGATCACAAGATGATTTTGTCTTCCTGAGGAAGGAATGAGAGGATTCTACATCTGATGAGGCTGATGTTTTCTTTTTTTTTGTTTGCTTATGCTTTTTGAAATGCTTCTGCTTTTTAGATTTCTTTTTATGTTTCACCTTCTTTTTCTCTTTTCTGTGCTTTTTGTGATGGCTGGAATATCTCACAGTGCTTAGATCAGAATAACCGTTATGTGACCAAGATCTTGATCTCCGTGATGCACTTCTTTCATCCCATCTGCTTGTACATGGATCACTCAACCTTAAAAACAAACAAATAAGCCCCACGCTAAGTGGAAATTCTTTAAAAAATTTATGATAAACTAAGTATTTTCCCCTCCTCCAAGGCAATTAGTTAAGTTTAAAAACAATTAATACCACCTCCCCTTTACTACCAGACAACTGTGTTTTGACCGAGCTTGTTACACTCATTTTAAGACACAGAATTACACCACTATCAACAGAGCTTCTTCTCCCTAAGAAATGAATTAGCCAACATCAGCAAGCTTTGCATATTGTAGAACCTGTGTAAAGAGATTTAATGTTTAATTTTAAGTCCATAGGACTTTGGGTAGTTACAGCTACCACTACAACTACGGGATTCATAAACCACGTTTAAATGCAAATTTAAACGCTTCATCTTATTAAGTATTCTTTTAGCTAGTACCCTGCAATATATCAATAAACTGAATGCACTCAGTATATAAAAAGACTTATCATAAACATTTGCAATTATTCAATAATGATTATATAGAATATTCTTCAGTTTTGCTTTTGGGGTTTCTCTGTTGTAATTTGATACAAGCTCATATTTAGTATCAAGCAATCAGAAATTCTGTAGAGCTGGGCTTCCATCACAGCGTTTGTAACTGCAGAAAGAACATATAACTACAACAATATAGGATTGGTGGATTCGATTGTTTTATTCAGTATCCAAAGAAACCATATAACCAAGTCTGAGGCTAAATGAAATCTGACATGACTAGCTCGATGGAACGCAACAGGAAACTAGACAGGTCAATTAATGACTGCTTAAATAGGTATCCAAGATGGCACCATCAGAAACAACTCTTCTGACCTTCTGACACTTTTCAGCACGTGTTCATCTGGTTATTCATTAGCAAAGTAGAAAGGTTTTAAGAAAGTTTTCAACTTCCAATTTTCAGAATTTAAAGGGAATGTGTTAACCACGAAGATATTTACATTTTTTTATTCAAACATGAATGACATGGTACATCTACACTATCTATTAAAGCTTGTGTTAAAACCCAAGACATTTTAAATTTGTAGTAAGGATCTTACTTATCGCCTTTACTCCACTTTTCTCCACTAGGTGGTCTATATGTTCGCAATCTCTGCATTTCCTCTTTCCAGTGAGGAGGAGTCTCACTGCTCTCATCATCATCAGATTCAGAACATGATCGTGATCGAGGTGGGGTGTGATATCGCTACGAAAACAAAGATAGATAGCTGCATAATATATTTTTCATTAAAAGAGACTGGATAATGAAGAAAATATACCGTGACTCTTACACAGATTTTGCATGCATCTTCATAAGACAAGCCAGACAACATTACCCATACGAAGTCCATGAAGAAAACACATTCTAGATTTCCTGCCAAAAATACCCACTTTTGGTATGCATATAACCCGCATGTGTGACTATCTTTTCATAGTCTGAGAGAGCATTTCTCAAAGCTTGAGAGGGGTAAGCTAAGCCATTTTTCCAAAACGTAAAAGGAAGAATTAAGGAAGAGGTCATGGATTCCCTTTACATAATACCTTTTGAAATAACACAATTACTGCAGATAACCAACTTTTTTTCAGGATACTAAAGCACAGATGTTTCACTTCAGTTAGCAGACACCTAACTGCTTGCCTGGGTAAAGACAAGCCCTATTTCTAAAGTTACTGCTGTTCAGCCCTTCAGAAATGGGAATCCAGTTCAGACACTTTCCAAGCAAAAAATAACTAAAAATAATCTTTCACAAAAGTGTAATGAAGCTTCATACTTAAAAAAAAAAAAAAATCATGCTTAGGCACAATACTTAAGTAGGCAATAAGAGCTAATTGTGCAGCAGAGAGAAAACTCTAATATTCTAACTCATTATTTTCCATTACCCAGTTGGATACACACTTAGATAAATTCTGTGAGGAAATTAGATGCTCCTTGACTCAATAAAGAAAAACATCTGGATTTTACTCAATTATTTTGAGTCACTTATAAAAGCAAGCAATATGTGGAAGAAAAAAAAAATACATTGCCCCCCAGAATAAAACCAGAAAGATGCATGTATTGGTTTATTCAGTTAATTACAGGTAGAAGTCTTTACGACACCCTGTTCATATAAGAAAATAAAGATAACCTGCCATGAAGATTTGGAGGTTGCTATCCTTTGAGCTGAAGCAATGACCAATTAAAAAAAAAAGCTTTTACAGAAGAATGGCATATAATAGATTACTAAGGTTTCATGGATCTCCCTAATTCTCTCGTGTTATACTCAGGAGTCTCTCAGAACCCAAGAAGATTCAAAACTAAAAACAAGTATCTTGAAAAACATCAAACAAGTTCACCCTGAATAGAAACTGTTGCCAGACTATTAGAGATGGCAGAAAAATGTGTTTCTCCAACTAATTGCTAGTCCTAAATTATTTCCGATATTACTGGTTTTCATTCTTAGTTTTGCCAAGAGGGTGCCAAAGTTACAAAAAGCAAGACACAGACACCCGAATCCCTGGCAAAAGCCAATTCCACTCAGCTTTAAGCTATTTTTCCAGAAGTCTTTATTTACATAAGTATTTCAAAACATGCCATTTAAAAGGCTTCCTTTAGTGCATATCACAAGTGTCAAATACAAATGAAAGCTGTCAGATGCAGCAAGGACAGCTATCAGATTTAATGTCAAGGCTGGCAAACAAGGTTTGGTTCTCAGGTGAGGCCCAAACACTACAATACCTTGTTTCATGCTAGGGCCATCTAAGCCGTTAATTTTGTGGCTTAAAATAATTGCATCATGGGGATCAGTAGAAAAGTACTTCTCAAATCCAGTGGCTATCACATAAGAAAATCATGCTCAGAGGAGTCTCAGTTAAGAGCATTCTAACAAAAAGTGTCTTCAGCTATATAGATATTGATCTCACTACATAAAATTTTTTTTTTTGAGGACTTTCACTTGCACAAGTATGTGGCAGGACCAAGCCTTCGTTTGGTTTATGGTTACCCAAATGCTGCCTGTTAATTGATCCAGGAAAACATTCTAAAGGGGAAGAATACGCTCAGTCATGGCATGCTACAATTTGAAACGCACCAGAATCAAATGCGCAATTACAAAAGCTTTTCTTACTTCCTCGCTCTTCTACTGACTGAAAAACAACAGTGTAGCTGTGCAGTGCTTTGGACCCTGTATCATGGGTTTTTAAAAAAGAGACAAGAAAACTTTTGCTCGAGTACAGTGGCACTAACACAAAAACCTTCAGGATACCAGAGACTTGAAGCAGAAGTGAAATGTGCGTAAACAGTGGCAGTCTTCAGAGAGGAAGGGGGGTGGGGAATCTGTAAGAATGCTTCACTGCCAGCACTGCAAAAAAGTAACTTCTTGCCCATGCAGTGCCACCTATGAAATTACATGGACTTGATCTCAGCCAGGACAGATGATGAAATTTGACAAACTACATTAAGTAGCTAAAAAAGGAAACAAAAGGTTGACTTAAAATGTCAAAGAGCAGAACAATGTAAGCGATTCTGCCAAAGTTGCCAACAAAACTGTTATTTCTCAGCAATGTATGCACAATCATCAGAAGATGCAAATACCAGAACTTAGGAGGACAAGCAATATACATCAGAAAGGGCTGTATACACTTTGGACACTGCAGAACAGCTTTGTCTACCGTTACGTGTTACAGTCCTAAGGCTTAACAGAAACAGCAAGGAAATCCAATGAGTGGAGAAAAGTAAAAGGTCTTGTCACTTCTCATTACTTTAGATCTTGTGGCTTGCATGGGATGAACCTGGCTGAATTCATTCCAAACTTTAAAAAGAAATAATTTTATTCTTACGTTTGAAGATTTCTTATAGCTGAGGGGTAAGCATTTGTTTTCCCAAACAATCTTTGTGTAAAAAGACATTAACAAGAAGGATGGAAAAAAAAAAAGGCATTATAAAATGAACTACCTGACAGCAATATTTCAACCTTCTAAGCGAGAACCTACAACATGTCAACAATAGTTAAGTATCATACAAAGCCTTCAACGAAATTCAAAGCTCAAGGTCAGAAAGGATACTCTGGGTGAGAGGAAAGAAAAAAGAAAAATAGTTGTCACATACTATTGTGCCTCTTCCTTTAATTTTTCGTCCGGATTTAGAGACTGATGGTTTCTGGTCAGTCAGAACTGGCGTAGCATCAAGAAGCTTCCTACATGAATTAAAAAAATATGAGCTTACATGGCAAAACCCCCAAAATTAACTTAAAACTTTTTTAAGTTAATTATGCAAAATATTAATCTTATTCATTTATTTTGAGACATGGCAGAACTGAGAATTCAGTGAATTCCCCAAAAAATAAAGCAAGGCATGCACAGTTCTGCAACAAAAGGCAAATCAACGTATACGTGCTTTCAACCAAACGCATAGCCTATCTGACCTCCCTACGTGTAAATAGATGCTAACATTAACAGCGTACTTCAAGTTCAAAGTGGTACGTGGCTTTTCTAAAGAGGTTAACTTGTGTTTGGGGGACAACTCATGAAGACAACGTGGTCAGAACGGTTTCAGGATCTCAGCAGTCACACAACAACGTCTTCGCGTAGGGAACAGCAATTCACAATAGCCCACAGGTTCTAAAGCCTCGCTTCTCTCCTAAGCAACAAGAGGTAATTCAGCACTCCTTTTTACCGTCTGTGTAATATCTTCAAAGAAGCAGTTACTAAGGCTTTGGAAACATGAGTAAAGTAACGCTTCAAGAAAAGGCTTACAGGAGACTATACGATTAACTGAAATAAAAAAAAACCACCACACACCAAACCCAAACTGATTTTAGAGATATCTGCCAATGTAATACATTAGCTCATCTGAGTCCAAAAGCAAAGAAATTTGATAGAAAAAGAGCCTAACTGAAATTTAGTAGAGGTGCAAAACACAAATTGGAAGTAACTTGTGAACTCATGACTTCCTTTGTATCAAAAGAAGAGTATTTTCTCTTATTGTCAAAATCACAGATGGGTCATAAAATTCTGATTGACTGATTTTGAACCAAGTTTCTTCTTCAGTCTAAGAAAGATGAAAAAAAAATCGCCTGTCCCAATCCCAAGTTTCCCTTGCAATCAAATACTTGCTGTGGTTTACATTGCAAAATTTTCTCTGGAATTATTCACTCATTTTTTTGCATCATCTGTAATTGAGTTTAAGGTTGTAACATGCATGATCCTTAAGGACCAGTGAAACTAACTCATTGGGTTTCACTGAAAAACCCTGACAGAGGCTGTAAGGAATATTACAAAGAAAACTGTAAAAAGAACAATTAAATTACCTCATTTAGAAATTCTGACAGTACAGCAATCATTTGCTATCAGTACTAGTAATACAATGTTAGCAGGAAAATTTTATGCATAGTTTCCACCAAGTCAACATAATAAGAAAGCTCAATGATTCTTACGGTTCAGGTTCTACACTGACAACAGGCACATCTCTTCGTAACAAAAATCTGTTTTCAGGCACTGGGGGAATTTCTTCAGGACGTACCACAGGTTTGTCCCTCTTTGTGCTAACGTCGACTGCTTTTTCTGTTATATCACTCTTGTCAGAAAGGCTGCTATGGGGAAAAATAAGTTGATAAATCAAATTAACTGTCAACTGATAAACACCACTTTTCAAAGCAAATTCCAAAACAAGCCCATATGATGCATTGAGCCTTAAGATGGCTTAATCAAAATGTATTTCATTAACAACTCCTTTTATGCTAAAGGAAGGATGGTGCACTGTTAGTGGAAAGAAGGTTCAGTTCTCAGTTTACAGCAAATAATTTTGCTTTTAATTTGCCGTTTGTCATGAAATATTTTTGAAATATAATCAAATATAAATCAAAGATCTATCTGCCTAATGTCTCACTCTAACACAGGAAAGTGAGTCCTAAATACTTTCCTGTGCTGAGGCTTACTTCAAAGTCGCTCTAGCTTCTACCTACAAAGATCTTAAACTGTTTCATAGAAAAAGCTACCCAACAAGCTCAGCTTTTTTTTTGTTTGTTTATAAAAATCAACCACCAAAATCCAAACTTATAGAATAAAAGGCACCATCATATTCATTGCTCAAGTACTTCATGGGGAAAAAAAAAAGTAGAATTTCTCAGATTTCTCTGAAATTCTTAAATTTAAGAGACTAGTCACCGTCTTTGGTTTGAGATTCGCTTGCACCTTGGATCCTCTTTCTTCCTCTCTTCCTTTCTTCGTTTTCTTGATTGTTTGGTTTTAGCTCTTCTTTTACGCTTTCTTCTTCTGCTTCTTTCATTGTCAGCTTCACTTTCAGATGAAATTTCTGAAGAGCTCGATGCACTGGAGGAGGAGTCTGAAGCTTCTGAGTCAGAACATACTTTCTTCTTCTTCTCCAAAGCTTAAAACAGATATTTTAAATTTAGCGTGTGTTTGTGTGCATGTATGTTCATTGTGTATATATACAGCACAAAATATACAATTTCATATATGTACAAATACAGACACGTACTGCTCCAGAGGAACTCTGTGCATAAACTATGAACTTTTTTCACAGTAAGTTACATTAAAATACAATAAAAAGTCATATAATTGTGTTCAGTCTAAACTCATATCAATAAAATGATACAAATATTTTCCAGCAAAGACAGTTGTAAAAAAATTTCTTCAGTTCCTATGAAGTGAGCTGTAAGAGCTTCCATGCACAACTTCCACCATATAAGATGACATATTGATGCAAAGCGGAAACATTCCTAAGTCATACACAGTAACTTTATAACTGAAGTTGAACATTAACTTGTGCCAAGCTAATACAAAGAAAGGCTGAGAAATAAGTATCATTTTAAGAAGGGTTCCCTCCCTTTTCTCCTTTGAAAATGTATTTTAGGTTATAACACTGAATTCACACCTTTGGATTAGAATAGAATACATAAATAAGCAAAGACCATTTATAGTAAAAAAAATAATTTAGTTTCTTTAGAAAGCAATGCACAGGTTACAAAACAAAGTTTAAGAAAGAATTAGTCTCAGCCTCAGTTGTATATTTATTTCTAAAACTTTGTCATTCTCTCCTTTCTGCATCCTCATACTTTTATATTATCCTCTTGACTTTCTCTAAAGGACATAAATAACCATATTATCCTTAAGGCAAGTCAAAAGTGGACTAGAAAACTCAAACTTACAACACTCCACTACTTTACAGCAACTGTCTAAACATATATTTTTAAGATCATTTATTCCCTGTGAATTCTCATGAAAAGGAAAATGCCGTTGACTACATATACGGCATATATTAACGTTACACAATCTTAAAATAAACCTTTGGAAACTGCACAAGATTCAACTTCAAGAAAAGCTTGTGTTTGTGTCTCCATCTTTCAAACTCAGAAAAATAAGCTCGAATTACTCTTTGAGTATGTCACATTAACCTGCAACGTTAATTAAGGAGAATAGGAAGCAGGCATACATTTTCCAAGGCACAAAGGTTTAGGTCAGAAAACCTCGTCCCTTGCTATGCCTTCCTCACCTACACCAAGCTTTAAGTTTCAAAGGCTTGTAAGAATTCAGATTCTAGAGATTCACCACATTTGATTTCTAGATGTTGGCCTAATTTTTATACTCTCTGAAAACAATATCAACATTCAATTAACTCCAGGTATACATACGCTTACCATCTTTTGCTGATTTTGTAACAAGCACCCCACAGTCAATAACTCGTACATCTGCATAGGGCCTACTTGCAGTATCAGTTTTCAGATTTTCTATTTGTTCTATTACTTCAAAACCAGAAATAACCAGTCCAAAGACAACATGTACACTGTAGAAATAAAATATTTGGAAAGTACAAACGTTTATATATTGCTGTAATTATTTTCCAATTAATTTCAGATTTTAAAAGTCATTCTGAAATAGAAACATTCAGCTTCACTGGTATCATCTGGCTCTTAAAATGTATTAAACTTAAAAATAAGATTTTTATTACTTCTACATTTACAACAACGCTAAGATTTCATGCAACATGAAACAGAGGTTCCACTCCAGTTCTATTTGAGAGAACTACTTGATGTCATTCTCCTCTCTTCTACATGGGCAGAGTAAACAGATCTTCGTTTCTAACCCATACTTCTATTTTTGATGTTTCGTGCAATAGAGTGATCAAGAGTCCATAAATAAAGATGACAAAGTGCAGTTTTCCCCAGAGAAGAAGCATTTATAGGTCTATACACACTCAGCATACAAGTTCCCACTGGCATTGCAGGGACAGTTATAATTAAGGAATCCCCAGTTTTGTTTAACCATACCACATTTCTCTGTCCTTCTTCCACTTGCCCCATAACTTATACTTCCATGAACTAATATATTTTGGGGATAAAAACATGACACAAAAAAAGAATACTATCCAAATATATTAAACTTAACATTTCAACTCACTGATTTATGGACTGAGGGCAGCAACTAGTTTTAAAGAAATGAATGTTAGGATTTAAGACCTTCCAAGTTTTTGACCAGCTTTAGGAAATAAGTTGCAACTTGAAATTTTTATAGAACTGAAACTTTTGTTTTTCATCTTGTTCTACTGTATAATCTTTCACAGAATGAAGCATTTGTTTTCCCACTGTCATCTACGTTCAATATAACATGTGAAGACTTACAGCCTTCAAATTTTAGCCATCATTGGAGAAACTGTAAAGGTTTCTTACCCATCGAGATGAGGAGCAGGTTTTGTTGTTCTGTTTGACAAACAGCAAGATGGTAAGATGGTAAAAAAAAAAATCAGGGATTCAGATGAAGTAAAAGAGGAGAATGGCACAGAAAAAAAAAAAGAGGTGAAGGTAAGACAAAAATAGTGAAAAAATCCAGTTACATACATGGAATCAAAAAAACTTTACAGATTATACACACAGGCTTTTTTTAAACTTTTACATGAAATTTGTTTGAAGTTTAGCTAACTGTGCATACTTGAAAGTTGTACCAAGTATCATTTTATGCATGCAATAAACAATCTTCAAATAAATGTCTTTAAATACACATTCAAATATAACTCACTAACATTTTTAATCACAGAGAAGATACCCAATATTTTTTGCCAAATTGTAACTAATGGAATTTAAGTGTTTCTGAAATTATTAGGTTCTTACATTACATTACAAGGTCACTTTAAAGTCAGTTTATTTAAAAAAAAAGAAGAGAATTGTCATATTATATAGATTCTTTGCTTCCCCACCCCCCACGCTGCTACTTTCTTACTCTCCATTTACTTGGTTGGCCTCATGACTCAGAATACAAAGCAATACTCCTATCTTTAACCATCAAGACTATAGCACTTCAGCTCATAGGCTCACAGGCTTCCCAAAAGCAACAGCAGCACAATGCAAGCAGACATTGTACGCTACCCCACAGTTTGCTTCTGTGATAAATGCAGACTTCCTCCCTATTTTTCAGCTTCCCACATTTAGCTGTGTCTAGCCTGAAGAAGAAATGCGACTGCATTGCATTTTATACACTATCCTAAAAGGCATTTGGAGTTATGCCAACTTTCTGAGTTGACTTCAAATTGGAATATTCAAAGCTGTGCGTATATAATTACATGTTAAGATTCACCTTTTTGATGATAATGCTATGACCTTGCATCTCTCTATATCCTTTTCCAAAAAGGAAAGAAAATTACTTCTACAAGTAAGCCTGCGTTACTGTTGCACAGGGAACCTTGCTACGCAGACAAATTCAGTAAAGAACATCAGAACGTGCTTATATATTAGGGGAGAAACAAAAAAATAGAAGTCAAGATAATTTGCATTTGAAGTTATTTTAATATTTGAAAACACTCTTCCTCTCTCTTCCCCAGGCACTATTTTGCCTTCCTACCCTTCTTCCAATGAACTCCCCTCTCTCAAAATAAATAATCAATCACAGATGCTTCTTCTAAATTTACAACAACACAGATGTGGTACAATGAAGTCAGTTTTTCACTGCTATAATAAAATACTACTTTTTAAAGCACATATCTTCACTTGAGTTTTGAACTATTAGGTCACAAAACACTGCAGTGCTGGAATGCGTGCCAAAAGATGGAACTGTGAATCAGGAGTGTTTACACTCTTGATTTTTTTTAAGCTCCAAATGCCAACCAGACCTTTCACTTCTGTAATACCAAATAATACAGAAAACTTCTTTGGTTTAACACAGGGAAAGAAATGCTATCAAGTTGACATTTAATTTCTCAGTAGAAGGGGTGTTCTTTGTTTTTCCCTTGTTAATACAGCATATTACTACAAACAGAAAAACTCTTACTGCTTTTGAAGTTCTTTAAGCAAAAGGTAACTGCATTAACAACCTGCTATTAAGTAAACATTTTAAGCGGGCTTAATTATAAAGCTGATTTAAAGTGGTGAAAAAATAGAAGTGGGTTACTTCAATGAAACCAATAATAAACAAGACTTAGTGCTTGGAATTAGCTAGAAAGAGCAACAGGTTCAAACACGCTTGATACGAATGCTGTAGTAATGCGCTCCTGCCACGCAGCAGCAGCACTTGAAGACCAATTGAGCAAATTACCTAAGCATGTCCTTTCTTTAGACTAGTCCTCAATAAGCAAAGAAAGGGATAACTGGTACGTTAAAACCCACATAGAGGTTTCTTCCTTTCTATTTTATCTATCAAATTGCCAGTGTAATGGATTTTTCTCATTTACTTGTTCACGAAGTAAAAACACGAGGAAAAGCATCATCCAAAAAGAAAACTTTTCAGATGCACGACAAGGAGTTCGGTGACTTAACAGACTTCTGATGGGAAGCAGAAACCCAACTCCCCATTGCGCTTTTGAAAGTTTTCTCATCTCAACATCAGGGTTTTAACATGACATTTATTCTGCAAACGTGCACTTTAAAAGACCACTTCAAAAGTTTTCTGCGTATGTTCTGCCTTTCAATCCTTGAACATTTGCTTTGGTTTCAAAACTTAACCAGGAGAAAACCTACTTACTGCCTTTGCACTATAGAAACCTAGAGTCATGACAGGTTCCTCCCCCAAAATAATATTTTAATAAAACATTTCTAAACAGAACTTTTATAATTTAAAACATTCAGAATCTGCCTCATAATATATACTATTATCCAAGTTATTTACAGAGGGACAAATACCTTTCTTCACTCAAGTTTAGAGTAAAATGGTTTAAGATACTGCTGAAGAGAAAAGCATCTTTTTGATAAAAGCATGTTATCGCCCACCCCCTCCAAGAACCTCAGTCCTAACAAAGGATTCAATGCACATAACAATATGATCAGATAAACAAGAAAGATAAAAACAGAAAGAAAAAGGAAAGGACACAGCCTTAGAGGAATGAGACATTACCTTTGGAGCGCACGATGTAACACTGTTTCTGTAAATTTTACACAAAAATGGCAGAAATAAATTGTAATACATTTTCAGACAAAACTGAGTCTATGTTTTATTAAATACAAGTTTAAAATTAATATTAATCAAGTTGTATGCAGAACAAGGATGCCTAAAAGAGGGCTCTAAATTTTCTTTAGAATACAAGGTACTTTGAAAACTACAGTAAGTTCTCCTTAAAAACAAAAAAAGAAACCTGTAGACATAACCTGCTTGCATACACTATTACAAAGATAAACAGGTAGAAAAGAGAATCCTCCCGCTCCCCTCTAAGTCTCAATCCAGCAAAAGTGTTGGAACATATGCACGACTTTAAGCAGATGAATAACTGATTTCAGTGGGTTTATTCACGTGCTTGCAGTTACACAGGTGTTCAAATGCTCTACTGAATCCAGTCCTAAGTATACACTTCATAGGATGGCACACCATCGCTTAAACGTTTTGATTTACAAGTGAAATGCGTTAAGTCAGTAAGTCTACAACTTCATACAGTTCATAATTAGCTGACACCTTCCTTGTCTTATGAAGCTTTTCTAAAACTAAGAAAAATAGGTGCTTTCTCCAAAATATGTGCATTGCTATTAGATTGTTTGTGTTCAGAATTATAGAAAAACAAACGCATTGTAGATGCAAAAAAGGCAAAACGTGCACCAACTAATAATACCATACTTTTGCTCTGGTATAATTCTGAACAGCAGCAATGTTTTAAAACTGCATTATCAGTTGAGCTTATCTATATTCCACCCCACCCTATTATTAAGAATAGAACTATTATTAAGAATAATAGTTCTTAATTATGTCTCTGCATACCCAAGTGTTGAAATGATCTGTTTGTTACTTACTACACATAAAACCATCCTGTGAATGCTTTCACACGGGCTGTGCTTTCACATAAACTTTTGATCAAGCCAATAGGACCTGCTTGTGTGATAAGCCCACATATACCACTTTTACTCAAAGATAACGCAACATCCGCCCCTTTCACTTGAAATTTTTAGATTTTTATATTAGTCAACTGTTCAATAATTAGCTCAAAGGTATTTCATTCACAGTAAAAAAAATTAACTGTTGATTAGTAAAATACCTGTTTTGGGACACCAAAAACACTTAGAAATGAACCACTTAATAAGCTGGTAACGTTCAGAAATAATTTGTAAAATCAAAACAAAAGAAGTCCTCACAATTTATTTTAGCCTTCATTTAGCAAACCAAAGTGGTTAGTTTGTTTGAATTTAGTAACTACGTATGGCACCACACATTAAAAGTATTTTTAAAAAGCTATTTAGTTTTGAGCAAGAAAGCAGAACTTGAGAGACACGCTAAACCAACAATACCCTCAATATGGGAAAAGAAAAAAAAAATCTAGCAATAATAGCAAAATAGCCTCAAGTTTTAAATAGCTTTTGAGCACAGAGGCAAGAACTCCAAGCATTCGAACTGATAAGGAACACAACCGGGATTCCTCTTTAAATTGTAACAAGGACGTATTCCTCAGTAAGCTACATGGCTAAATAACAAGGCAATAAATTAATTATGACACAAAACTTCCCCATGACAACAAAGAGGTTGGTTACTTTTTTTTGCCTCCTATTGTTTTCTTTATGCTTCATTCTGCACAGTCACCTCTATTTTTCTAGTAAGTGTAACTTGACAGATTTTGTACGACAATGGAAGCAAAGTTAAGCCCATGCAAGCATTTGTAGGATCAGGAGTCTCATTAATTTTATAGTACTTTATATACTCATTTTCACAAGAGTTGCACTTATTTTGTATTGCAGCTTTCCTTACTAGCAGGTTGGGTATGGCCACAGGCACGATGGAGTTCTCTAAAGAGACAAGATACCTTCATCAGATCAGCTCGGCTGAGAAGCAGAATACATTGCTCAAGAAGAACATCACCCAACAAGTAGCACAGCCACTGAGCTGGAACATCCAAGAACAGGCGTGTCCCCCCCCCCCGACTCTCAATCAGGGACCTGAAGACATTAGCTATATTTGTGCAATGCTCTAGATGCACTCCCCCAACAACTAATAATAATCTTTTCGGCAGCAGTTCAAAACAGATATTGGAGTATATAGAAAAAGGAAGATGATTCTAGAGTGGTTCCTGTCAACCTCTACCCCATCCTAGGGATTCCGTATCTGAGTATCAACATGGAAACAGGACAATCAAAAGAAGATTAACACACTCAGGTGGTGTTTAGAACACTTGCTAAATAACTGATGGTTCTATGAGGATTATTCACAGAAAAGCAGCAAATTAAATAGCAGTGCTATCTGAAAATACAAATAGCTAGTTTATAAACTGGTACCTTACAACTGTCTTTAACACAAGTCTGCAATACAGATCCCTTTGGGTACAGAAAATTCAAGTTCCAATATAGAATCATAGAATCATTAAGGTTGGAAGAGACCTCCAAGATCATTGAGTCCAACCGTCAACCCAACACCACCATGCCCACTAAACCATGTCCCTAAGCGCCTCATCTACACGTCTTTTAAATACCTCCAGGGATGGTGACTCAACCACTTCCCTGGGCAGCCTGTTCCAATGTTTCACCACTCTTTCAGTAAAGGAATCTTTCCTCACGTCCAATCTAAACCTCCCCTGGTGCAACTTGAGGCCATTTCCTCTCGTCCTATCGCTTGTTACTTGGGAGAAGAGACCAACACCCACCTCGCTACAACCTCCTTTCAGGTAGTTGTAGAGAGCCATGAGGTCTCCCCTGAGCCTCCTTTTCTCCAGGCTAAACAACCCCAGCTCCCTCAGCCGCTCCTCATAAGACTTGTTAAGAATAAAATATTTCACATTTTATGTGAAAATAAAATTTTATTCACATTTTATATTTTATAAAATAACTTGTATAAGAATAAAATATTTCACAAATCCAAACATTATAAGGGATAGCCTCTGTATCCTTTCTGCAGGATTTCAACAAGATGCACTTCTTAAGACTAGGAAATGTTTCTTAGACACTTGTGTGAATAGACTTGGCCTATTTAAAGTACATGTGCATGAAAAACAATCCTGCCTTAGCTAAACATTCTCCTTTCAATCCAAGTTATTCCTATTCAAGTAAGAAAAAAGATAAGAGGTGGGGAAAATTAGTCAATGAGCACTAAGCACAGCACTTCTAACATTATACATATACACACACACACTTCTGACTCTTTGTTCTACTTTTGCATCTTGCCAGTTTCTACCAGTGTTTTAATTTACGTTCATTCTTTTTACACTGGCCTCACTGGAGCTTCCTAGCAATACTTAACACTGTCTTTTCCATGCCCGGTTCTCTATCGTTGCTTACAAATGCTTCAAACTCATTCATGCCAGAGGAATTCCTGATGAATCAAAGAAAGCTGATGATACTTTAGGATTGGTCAGATACTTGTTTACATTAAGATTAGTCTGAAGCTGCTACTTCAAGTAAAACTGACCACTGTAGCTCAACTTTTAACAATTTTTAGGCATTGCAAAGAGTCTTCTTGTGACCAGTTTGTTAGCGCAGTCTGTCAAAGAGATATTTGCTGCCTGATTACTTTCTCTAAAGACTAGTTATTACAAATGACACTTATCTGTGGTAAGCAGGGAAAGCACTTCTGATGAACAAGTAAAAATGTTATTGTCAGAAATCTTGCTATTATTTTAGCCCTAATTGAGCAAATACTTATATAAAAGAGTATCGCTTATTTGCATTCCTTATTTGCTGCATTAAACACGTGTATGATACAGAAATATAGAGTTCTCATCCCTGAAGTTATCTATGAACTATAAAAAAAAAAGCAAAGGTCTAAAGAAGTTCAGATGAACTATTTCCCTTTCTATAAATCTCATCAATAAAATTAAGCATGTTCAAACCATTAAAAATCTAAAGACTTCCACTAACGACTGCCCTTTCACACAATTTTCAGGTTACACATTTGAAGAACATTTTTCCTAATGATAAACTACTGAATAACTGAGCATTCTTTTAAGAAACACATTCGAATTTTAGCTTGAAGTATATCACTAAAGGAAACAAACATATTTTATTTAAGAAAAGCTGTAGAGATACACAGTACATTCCCTAACCAGACAAATGTCACCAAGCAAGACTAACTGCTTTAATATATTGCATTTTAAAGTTAAAGTCAGAAACTGCCTAGTTAAAGTCTTTAGTAGTTGTTTCCTACTTTGAATCTTGAATTTCAAGCTCTCCATGTTACGAAGAAACCAACTTCCACCATTAAAAAAACCCTATAAAAAAGACAGACCGTTGAACTATGTGTTTCACCATCCATCCTTGCCTATTCATAAATTGAGTTATCAAACATGAACCTGACTTTGCAACTGACTGTATACGTACACACCTGCCTTTACGAGCAGCCTCAGTGGCTTCTGTACGGATTCTGTAACTGTACATACTCATTCCCAGGATCAGCTGCGGTACTGGAGGCCAAAGGTGGGATTCAGGTTAAGTGCATAAACGTGAATACAGTAAAGGCATCCACAAGTGAGCTGGGCATCTCAGCTGCTGGTCAGATCTAGGGAGAACGCTCTGTTGCCAACATGGAGGCATCTTGAGCTGCCCTACTGTATCCTGCCCAGCTTCCAGCTGCTACTCCAGGAGTACAGGGTGTCTTGCAGGTGCTACATCGTATTTGCACACCCTGTCTTGGAGTTCCCAACAGTGTCTCAAACGGCTTTAGATGTCTGCGTGCGTATAATGAAAAAAGCCCCGGTCAAGAAGGTCACAGAAGTCTAAAGCGTTAGAGCACGCTTTAAAGACTTAGCCGCCCACCTAAACCTCATCGGTTATACTGAAGTTTACTCCTGGGCTTGATCCACTTGCCTGAATCTAGAGCAAACTGGTGCCGTTTAAGACACTACAGGATATCCAAGAAACCTTCAGAACATCCACACCCTTCTCTCCCAGCAGCTGAAGGGCAGGTAGGATTCCCCAGGACCCTAAAAATGGCTTTAGATTCCTACAGGCAGCTGAGGTGAACCTAGCTTACGTGGAGACAATTATGTTTAGGTATCTTACTCTGCCTGAACTTCCACCAAACTAATACTTTCTCTTGACAGTGATTTTTAAGGGGGGGGGGACGACCCAAACATTTTTTGAAGAAATCTGCATCTTTCAAAATACTTAAGTGCTCTTAAATACTGTTTATTTTATTGTCCCATGTAAATTTTAATTTAGCATCTAACACAACCTTAGGTTGTTTTGGTGTGTGGGGAGATACAAGGTGTTTATGTCTGTTAAATCTAACCGAACAGGTCAGCTGAGCCTACTAAGCATAAGGGAAAGACGACGACTTCCGAATCAAATGCAGGAGAGAAAAGAAACTTTAGAGCCCTCAAATGATAGCTTCTTGACTGATGTGACATCATTAAGTTTTCATGTATATTGTTCAGATAAGCTTAAAAATGGAAAATCATGACAAGAGAACCAAAAGATAAGTCACCAAGTAGTAAATAGTAAATCAATGTCTTGCAGAGAGCTTATTAAACCAATAATAAGGGGTTTTATATAGAGATTGTTTTCCATATTAATGTGTATACATATCCATTCAGATTTACTGTAAGGAAGCACAACATCTAAAATTTGGTTTGAAGGTAACAGAAAACAAGCTTTTGACACTTACGATTTTATCTGTATGGAAAGTCAGAACAGTGATAACTGAAAGACTTCCTCTTAGGTTCCCATTCATTTTCCATTTTTAGGGCATTCTTTAGAACGAGAACTAAAAATGTCTCTTATCTGAACTTGATCATATCATACTGAAGATCTTTTTCAGGCAAAGGGGGGAAAAAGGAAAAAAAAAGACTGAGGACAATTTACTCCTTTACCGAAGACAGTGAAGCGCCATTCATTCTTATCCCCCAAGAAAGATGGCAAAGAAAAACCAGTTTTTCTAGTTAAGTAACTACACTAAAATTTACTTTTGAAAACACCAGTGTTTGCACAGTTGTTCTCAGCACAAGCCCAAAGTTATAATCTAGATCTTTCCAAATACAAACTGTTAAACATTAACAGAAGGTAATTTTTAAAAGGGAGTTAACAGGAGAAACAATCACATAAAAATTAGCAAGTTTAAAAATACTAATACTGAACCTAGAATACAACTACTTTAACCAAAAGATCCTGACATATCAGACCTGAGTATTTACTGATGGTAGAGTCATGCGTTTTCTGCAATTTAACAGAACATGGCTATGTACTAGAATGGTTGTTTTGTTTTGGGGTTTTTTTTTTGTTTGTTTGTTTTTTTAAGGTAATGAAGGAAAAGTTTGATTATCAGCACATAATTTACATAGTATTGGTACCAAAGTAGCTTGTATATGCACAAATAAACAGAACTATGCAGCAATACAGAAGAAAAGCATTTCGGGAACAAACACTCCAAAATAAAATAAAAAAAAAAACAACAAACAAAACCCTCCCTCATCCTCCTCCCCCCAAAAAACCCCAACACCCAACCCCCCCAACTAAATTATAAATCATCGTATTTTAAAGAGCATGTGCAAACCCATACAAATCACCTCGAGATCTCACTCCCTTTTGCATACAATGCTCACCACTGTAATTTGCAGATAATCTGTTAAGATTTGGTTGGTGCACACACAAAGCCAAAGAATCTGTTTTCTGGACACTAACAACTTATTGCATAAGCCATATTTTTAGGGTAAAAAGCAATGAACACGGAACATCCATGTAGCACCAGCTTCTAATCCAAATTAATGCCAGAAGCAAATTGCAGTAACTAATGTTCCCTGTTACAGCTTACACTGCAGGTACCCACTCAACCCTATTTAAAATAAGGCGGATAACATTGTTATAGATAATTTAGCAATACCATCTTTCTCATGAACAGCGCTTCTCTGTTTAAGAAAAGCTCAACTGTCGTATTACATCTACTCACATGAAAAATTGGGAACCATTGGTATGTTTCCCTCGGTTTGCCATTGACAAAAGGAACGCTCTGTCATGTTTGAGAATAAAGTTTTCATCTGTTTGAAGAAAAAATATGTTTGTCAGATTTTCCCTGACAAGGAATGCAAGTCTAATTTTCTTAGTAACTTATGGATGCTATAAGGAGAAATTCTTCTGCTGCTGAAGAAGCATGAACAGGTTGGAAAAAAAAAACCACCCAAAATCAAGTTTAAACAAGCCTCTCAAAAGTTACAGTAGAAGCAGTTATGAGACAGAAAGCATTCTTTCTTAAAGAACAAGTTTCAGATATAGTGCAAACATTTCTAGTGAAAAAAATTGAAAGTCATTATTAGTGTCTTCAATAAACATTAAATCCAAGCCTATGAGAATCTAAATCCAGCATTTTCCGAGTAAGAACAAGGTTGGCAGACTTACTGAAAACAAGACTTAACATACACAATACTGTTATTTACAAAACACGCACCTCAGGCAGAAAGATCTAGAGGAAAAAGCCATTTCCCTGGTATGGCACATCAAAAGATAGCCACCTAACAATTCAGAACTGAAAATCTCAAAAGGTACAAGGGAAAAATGCCCTCGATACCTGAATGAGAAACTAAAGAACATATTCTTCCTGCAACCTAAGTGTAAAATCAATTAAGACTAAATTAAATGTGCATTTTATATTCCAGTGAATTAAAGAGGACTTCTGTTTGTACAGCATAATATAAAACCAGATCTGCTGGATCTGGTTCATTTTGAACCAGAACTTCTGAATCTGAAGTTCATTTTCAAAGCTAAAAATAGTGATTTGAATGTACAAAGCCGTTATTTTTAAGATTACGTATCAAAACACAATGTTGCATGTTTAGCACTCACCACCTCTAGAAACAAACCCTAGTAACTTCGTAGCAAATGGATCTATTCAAGACTTCTTTTGACTAAAGGCTGCAATACTCCAACACCAAACTATGTCTCTGTTTAAGACAAACTTAATGGCATGCACTTAACCACGCAGAGCTACTTGCAAAACATACAGAACCAGGGGCTGTAACATAAATACATATATAGTGCCTTTACTAACACTTGAATATGAGAGCAGCTAGCTGGTTTTTTGCAAGAAAGAACTGTATGTCTTTAAACAAATACTTTATAAACTCACCATTTTCCTTCCAACAACAGATTTTAAGAAGAGGTAAATGTACATTTATTTACAAATTCTTTGCCAGTAAAAAAACTTGTGTAGCATATAAACAAAGTCAAACACTTTTAGAAATGAACACTAAACATACAAACCTTGAATAGGGAGGGGGAGGAAAGGGACATTAAGAAAAGAAGAAAACTGTTTAGAGCTGGAAATTATGCCAGTATTCTTTCTCAGAATAAGTCATTAACCCTCAGAAAGGTTAGACACAGAACTCTTCATTTCTCCAAGCAACACAGATACCCATCTACAAAAGGACGTATCAGTTGTCTATATATTTACTAGGGAGGGTACAAGGGAACAGAGTTTGAATTTGTGTTACTGAGCTTTTGTCTCTTACCTTTTCATTTTGCAAAAGACCACATTCTCTATAAACAAAAGAATATGTTGACAGTTTTAGGCAGGAAGATAGGAGTTTATTCATGAATAAAGTTGCCTAACCTCCATGCTGAAAGTCATGTTTAACCAATAATGTTAGCCTTAATTAATTGTCAGTTAAAGTTAAGTATTACCAAAAAAATTATCTGAAAGTCATGCATATAAAAATAATTCTCATGCAACATTAGTTTCATGCAAAAGGTGATCTATAAGTAGACCTGTTTTCATTAAGTAGCTTGGGAATCAAGGCTTGTTTATCTCAGAACTGAATAAAGAATCTGCAAAGACATATTTCCTCTTACCTTTAAAATAGCCACCATAAATAGATTCACCTCCTTTTCCATTACCTACGCATTAAAAAGCATGAATTAAACCTTTTGTTTCATTTATGAAAAAACCTGTATGTAACATTCCACCAGTTTATAACAAACCAGGATACTCCGGCCAGTTACTAGTATCTGAGCATAAGCTTCTTAATTAAGTCACAGCCGTGCATTATCCTGTTGACGCTCAAAATACTGAGAATGAAGACTGCCTTAGTGCCTCTGAACACTGGAAAGTCTGAAGCGGAGCTCCGAAGGCTAATCCTCGCTGGTATTTGCTAAAGCAACAGCAGACAGCAAAACAACAACAGCAAGCAAAAAGAAAAAAACACCAAAAAAACCCCCACACAACAGCAGGTACGACCAACAATCTTGCCCAGTTCAAAGCAGCTGAGAGACCACTAGAATGGACGAGATAAGAAAGTAGCTAGCAGTTTTAAAGGCACTTCTACTTGACTCTCAAAACAAGATATTCCCTCACCACGCCCATTTTATCAGGTACAAGATTTCAGGACACAGTGAAGATACACATTTTGGTAAGGACAGGTATTTCAGGGAAAGACAACAGGCTAGAACATTAGGGTGTACACATACTGCAGGGAAGGAAACAAAAACTCCTGAAAAATCTCCTTTTGGAGACTTTGCCCTTAAACACTTCCAGCTCATTTACTAAAATTAATTTAAAAAAGTGAACTTATTCAAATAGTCAGGTCCCCATATCAATAGAGCATTACTAGTGTTGCCTCTACTGCGGACACAAAAGTGAAAAGCAGTAAGACTGCATTTTGGATTTGAATTCTGTTTTAGGTGTTAACTCCAGCAATGTTTTGGTTTGGTTTTTTTTCCTTCTTTAACTTAAGATTTTTTTCTAAATAAATAATACTTCAGTTGAAACATTTTAGATTTTCAAAGATTAACAAATAAATGGGTGATCTATGCTACACTTCACAGCAAATGAAATATTTTTATGCTTCCATGGCATTTTCTAAAGTTACATTATAACCATATAAGTTACAACATTTCTGTTCCACTTAAAACCTTTCAGTTTTAAAAGTGTATTTTACCTTCGCTGAAGTCCCCACCCTGAATCATGAAGTTTTTAACCACACGATGGAATGTAGTGCCTTTGTAACACAGCTTCTTTCCAGTTGTTTTGCCAATTCCTTTTTCACCTGCAAGAAGGTTAAACAAAAAAAAAAATCTACAGACTGCCACTGAACAAATTCCAAGGGTTTTACCCCCCTAGTGCTAATGGATATGACAGCCATCAGAATAGCACAACTATAAAAGACAACACAGTCCTACTTGTTGCCTTTTCACCGCCCATTAATAGCGGAAGGGACCCATTTACAAGGGGACTCTCAAGTGAAAATTAGGTTGTTTCTTAAAAAAAAACCAAAATTTCCTCCCCTCCCAAGGAGTGTACTTATTAGCAATCCACTCAGAACAATTTATAAGAAAACAAGAGTTCATGATAATGATGGGTTAACTAATTTTCTGTGGTTATAGCTATGCTGCTATGTTAGCTGAAGCTTACACCGGATTCCTTTTTCAAACCACTTATACATCTGGATGTGCCAGCTGAATCCCAGGACACAAATCTGAGCTCAGAACAGGCTTCAACTCAGTTTCCATGTGATCCATTCTTGGAAAAGTGGGATCGAGCTACTCCAAGCATGAGTTACACCTTCACCAATCCACGCATAGTGTCAGGCCACCCCTTAATGCCAATCTGCCCGGCATCTACCCATACCATCTCAGTATGAAACTTGCACAAAACAGACTCCCATTTCTGAAAAGACTGACGGAACAGGGGAACAAAATTGTGTATACAAGAACTATTCCAGGATGTACCGAATGAGAATCGTAACGGGGGTGGGCGGGAACAACCAACAATCCCCCAAACCCCGAACTGGTACCAGGGCCATTCTTACCCAGCAGCAGAAGCCGAGCCAGGCCACGGCACTTGTTAATCCTTTCTGAGCCTGAGATTTCCTAAGAAGCGGCACTCAGTGGACTCCCGGTGCAGCTGTAGTTCAAGCCTACTGGTGATTTTTGAAAAAGACATCCCAGAACCTCAAACTTCGTTAACATTTCTTCCAAAATTCAGAAGAAAAGCCGCACTGGCGATGTGGATGAGGGTACTACGACTGTCAGGGCAGAGGTCCTACATAGTAGGTTCATGCGGGATTTATACTGGTCCAGTCAGGGAACATACAAGAGACGCTGACTTCAGCTTGCAAGAAGAGGGCAGCTGGCAGAACACGGCAATTAAAAGTAATAGGTATATTATACTCTGCAACAGCTAAAATCCCACATAAACCACGCGTGCAGGAGACATTCTGTAATGAGACAGGACAAATAACCCAACATTCCGTTTCATCCCACCGCTGGTTGCAGAACAGGCATTTGACGCTCGGTCAGAGGACATTTAACCACTATGTTCTGTACCGTGTAGTGCTGTCAGATGTGTACGTGTACTTGTTACCCAAAGCCAACACTCCCCTTTTGCGATCTATTGTTCCTCCACCCAAGATTAACTGATGGTCGAATCACCCCAAATTTGCCATCCAAACAGCCCATCACTGCCAGGATGAGGGCAAAGAGCAGTTTGTGGCACAAAACCCACTCATGGCATTGCTGTTTATCGTACTTGTAGAAGCCTTCACTCAGAGAATACAACTTATTTTCCATTACCCTGACTCTCCATACCCATAACCCATGCCGCCTCCTACCCCGTTTTTATTTTCCACAGAAGTTATGCAAGCAAAGCTCTTTATTACAGAGATGGACACACCCCCTTTCCCCCCAAAACATGCCCCTCTTTGCTACAGCATCGGAAACCCCACATTAATCAATACCAAGGAATATCTGCCTACATTTTTGGTCATGTTTCAGCATGGCCCTCAGGCTATGGATAATCCCCTTCAAGAATGGGATCCTGCATTGCACTTGACCATGTAATTGAGCTGGTACGTTAAGGTGAGAGGTGAGCTTTAGACAATGGCCAGAAGTTGTAGTCCCATTTTTTTTTTTTTACTCTCCTTTATAGCATCGCCAAGACAGCATAGTCCCTATCAAAATAAACAGTAATACTTGCGATGTTCCCTTCCTTTCATGCACAATACAACTGTAGGCAAAATCATATAACTCAACTACTTCCCCATAAGCCACAGACACTTTAGACAATGCACTTAAGCTGCTGACCAAATGGCGGAGGGCTAAGTTCCTGCAAAAGCTGTACTATGTCACTCTGATTTTCAAACCCAATCCTTGGACTCCCAGTCAGGCAAAAGACCAGTTGTTCCACTGGTTAGAGCTGCAGCACATCCCTAACCTCAGACACTCTTCTGCAACAGCCAGTACAAAGCCCATGGGCTGGGCTTCTTTTTTGTTTATGGCCAAATACTAGCTTTATTCTTTTTGGCCTAAATATGCCGGAATTTTGACTGAAAAAGAAAGTTGTCTTTGAGCCCCATCTACTTGCACCCTTCCTGCCTAAGTAGTTCTTTCCATGTGCTGCAAATCACTTGGAAATGGGATGGTGGTGGAGAACTTAGCGATTGCAAGGGATAACCCATTAGCTCAGAGAGCACAACACAAGGGCCTTTACCAAAGCGCCCTTCGCCCTTTTACAGGTAAACTTTGCTCTCATGCCCTATTAACACCCTGCACTGCCAACCCAGTCTGAGGTGTTTTGAATTAGGTGCCCAATAGTGGTCTCCGTTTGAGATTACAAGAAGGGAAGCTCCTGACAAAGCACCGAAGAGCAGATGGGCTTGTGCTTATTCAATAGGTGGACTGACTGAAGGACCTGCAAATGCCAGTTTGCAAGTCCAGATGTTTTAATTTAAATGCAGGGACACTCCTGCTGTCAAGGCAGACCGCGTTCTTTCACAGTAGCCAGGTCTATTTCTGACAACAATGTCAGGCTGCAGGAAGGCAGCCAGAATCACCCTGTCCTCCTCCATCTGTTTCTGACAAAAACATCCTGCTTGCCTCACACAGATTATGGAGGGAGCAGCAGGCATGATGATGGGCACAGCATTTCAAACACTGGTCTCCAGTCGTTCTCTCAGAGCGTTATCACCTTGCCTTGAGACAAGCGAAACCACTCTTCTCAATGACACGATGGAAGCACACAGCCCAAATCAAGTTGCTATGAGGTCCATAACAGCGTAAGTGAGGATATGTAGTACTCTCCAGCTGTGACGCCTTTATCAGCTACAATTCAGGTGGGTACCCACACATGTCTAAGGAAAAAGAACGTGCTGGATTGGCCTAGCATGCAGAATCCTGAATTTATGTAGTACAGAAGTGTACAATGCTCAGTCTGCTGCTAAGCTATTCCATTATGTAGACTATATATATGGTCCAGAATGGGATAGCATCCCCTCTCTATTATACAGCTATATACCTCCTTAGATGAGCACAGACCTCACAGATGGCTACAAGAAGATGTCAGCGCCAGAAAGTAACGCTGTATTGAGTAAACCTCCAGTAATTCAAAGATTTCTTGCAAAGACCAAAAGATAAGGGCAAAAGATATACCTGACAGGAACTCACACTTCTGTGACGACTGAAGTTCTACCAATGAATCTCGCTGTGAAAAGTGGCAGAAGTCAGGGGAGCTCGACTTCTGGAAGCAAATGACTTACTTGGTCTCTGAAGATGGTACAGCAGCTCACAACTCTAAAAATTTAAAGCAACCCTTCACATCTCAGTTCTGGTTGCCAGAGGTCAATGCAATCTTACCAGTACACCTTCATCTCCCATCACAGAACTGGTGCTCTTCTGAAGACAGGCTTTGTAGGTCCTCTAGCATAACCCAGGCAAACACAGAAGCAGTAGCCCAACTGGAATGCTACATCAGTCCACGGGGACAAGGAGAAAGTATGTACCAGAGAACTGCTGGATCGTACAGTGAAGAATGCGGATGACCCTAAGCCTGGCCTGCCGCTTCTGGCCACAGTTCTCATCTGTGGTGCCATGCAGGACACAGCATCCTCGTGTAGAGAGTTCAGTTTAGATGCTGAGGCGATCGAGGTTCCGACAGTACAAGGCAGGAGGGCAGGGAAATGGCATGCATAATGCAGATAAACTAGCAGTAACAAGTGCACTGGAAGAACTTGTCAAGGAGAAACAGAAAGGCAGACAGAACAGTTGATAGGAAAAGAACCTCAGGCGAACTGAACAGGAACACAGATGTCATTAGTGCAAACAGGAAAAGAATTAATGTTAGCCATGCAACCCTAGCCTCCAAGCTCAGTCATCCTGAGTTCAAGTTTGAGAACTACCACAGCAGAAAAAAAAAGAGATGGCTTCTACCAGCAAAAGAAATGAATATAACTTAGTTCTCTTAAACATTACACTCACCAAAGGAAATTAAATTACTTCAGGTTCTTCTATATGCTTTTCTCTTCCCCACAGAATTTAATTATCATGAGTTTATTAGCAAATTTTTAAAGATATCTGTCAAATCATTGTTCTATACTATGAGTACGCAGCAGCAAACACAATTTGCAAGAACGAAACAAATGTTTCAGGTAGCTTTTAAGTCTGCGAGACTGATCTCAAGAGTAGACCTCCTAACTTTGTGCTTACTTTCAAATGTTCTTCCAATTAAAGACAGGTTCCAGCTGAAGACATCAATGAAACCTGTACAGCCAGCTGTAGAACAGAATTCAAACAGGGATGCAATACAAAGAACAACTTTTTTTTTTAAAGTCTGACTTTCTTCTGCTTGTTTGTTTCATTCCTCATCATCTCCAACACCTTTTCCTTCCTTTATCTCCACCTAACATTTTTCTAGCAAAGCTGCTGTAAGGATTTAAACAATCCTTCAGAGCTACAGAACATGAGACTCAGACATTACGCTATTCAGTCTGCTACTGCATTTTATTTCTTATCTTTTGTAACCTGTTCTGATTAAGATAAACTTCAAAAGATTTCCCATTTTTCTATGATAGTTGTATTATTCTTTCCCATTCTCAGTCTATCCCTAGGTATCTCTTTAATAAGCATAAGTGATAACAAAAATAATCAGAAAGTAGAATAAAAAGGGAGGGCATCACCACACAGACCTCAGAAAAAATATGTACTGTACCTTCCACAAGTTCATAGAATTATAAAGCTCTTCTAAATCTTCACAGAGATTATCTAAAACACATCACATTCTGGGATTTGAGCTCCTTATGCATTAACTTTAAGAAGTTAATGCATAAGGATATCAACTAATTTGTTTCACATAACCAGTTAGCTAAAAGCTGTTCACTAAAGCCAGATGTTAAAATGCTGCCTGGAAAGTCCTGCTGGAGCGTTTTAATGACTTGGAAAAGAGTTATTTCATATACAAGGTAGAGGCTTCACTGGTGCAGTTAATTCAAGGTATATTGCAAGTTGCTGAGCATTCAGATATACAAGACCAGAAGATCACCAGGAGACACAGAATGCATTCTTCGCATAAATAACACACACCAATTCCTGTAATAACCCAATCAAGATTAATCTTCAATTTACAGCTGAAAAATCCCTGAGGAACAGTGCGGACCAAAAAAACCCACCAAACCCTTACTACCTTTACTCTTCCAATCATTAGAAACCATTTTTAAAAAGTTAAGTCCTGCTTAGAAAAATGGGTTGGAGGGTGCTACATTATACCCAGACATTCTTTTGCCAGTGCTATCCCTTTGATTTCACAGATCTCATCTCTCCTCTCTTCCACCAAACAATCCCAGGATTTCTAAGGAACCAACATATTCCCTTTTAGTCCTCATTTAGCTAAATATGAAAAAGTTTTCTCAGATTTAATAGATGCTCCTGTCCTCTGATCCCTGTATAGCACTTCTATAAACCTGAAATAAAATTGAGTGTATTATATGTAATCAACATTTTATACAAGAATTTATATATATTCAAAGCTTTATGTAGTGTCCCAAGTCAAATGTGACCATTATACCGTGCAGTGACATTAATACTTAATGTCTCTCCTGATAAATCCTAAAGCCCTGATAAGTCCTAAAGAATTGCTTGCCTTTATCACATCTGTGTAACGTGAGTGATCAATAATTCCACCATAGTCTCAGCCTTGTCAATCACTTCTATCTACAGGAGCCCCACATTAGGGACAAAAAAAAAAAAAAGAAGTTTTTGTTCCATAAATTCACAGGTTTTTGTTCTGTAATCATGTATTATCTCCACTACTCTAACTCGGTCACAACTATAGAATACCACACTATTTCCTGCTATGCATTATTCAAATCCTCCTCAGCGCTAACAAGTATCAGCTTTGTTTTTACCAGAAGAAAAAAAAAAAATCAGCACTATTATTATGCTGTGGTTTTTACTTGCACAAACAGACAAATTGTAAGAAACATTAAAAATCTTAAATATAAGCATGCTACTTACCCGAGCACAAGCAAAGGAAGTTTTTGCAAGTCTTCGGACATATGTCTGAGAAGAGTTGAAACATAATTCGACCAACTAGAAGATAAAAAAAGAAAAAGAATTGAGTTTTATAACTCTCTGTATTTTCAAAACATGCTCATTTATTTATATGCAGATTTTTTTATATCATGATTTTCTGAGAAAAAGTTATTTTACCAAGCAGAATAAGAAAGCATCTTGAATATGCATACATTAAACAAGCGACAGGAAAGAACAATACTATAATTGTAAAAAAAATGAAGATTAAGTACTAGCATTACATCTGATTTATTAAAAATCCTAATGATTCCATTTTGATTTGAACCTGGAAAGCCAAACTGATTTACTAAAATAGTTTATCCTGTCAATTCATTTCTGTTTTGAAAAGATTTGCCATAAATACAGGTCCTCAGAGAGCTGGAGTAATCCCCCCTCCCCCCGCAAGTACTACGTTTATACAGATACGTTAATAATTACACTTGCACAGTTTTCCCTGTGACCGTCACCTAAAAAGTCCAACTGACTTAGTCCCATACTGTGTTAAGGATTATAGATGCATTGGCACCCTTGGCCTGAAATCCTTTAGCTTGAAAAAAAATTAAAAATTAGATGGACCAAATAGGAAAGATGAAAGACGGGCAGAACAATACTAGCAATTTTAGGACTAATGCTCCACTGGCCAGATACTATGAACCAAATACTCCTTCTCTCTATGCAAAGTGAACAGAGCAATTCTCACCCTCAGTACAGCTATCCCCATGCTATTGGTGGTAGTTATGCTATGTACCTTGGAAAACTATTAAAATACTGCTGAAGAGTGGTTTAATATAAAGAAAAACTATTTTAGAACTGATTCACATTTTCTATTTTATTTTCCAAGATACTGGGACATATATTACTAAAGAAAAAAGCCAAAACGCTCCCAAATATATGAAATCTTTTTAAGAAAATTACATAAACAGCAAAGAAAAAGTTATCTCTACAGGTTATGAAATAAGCCATAAAAGCCACACTGTTGGCCAGCATTACAAGGAGACAAGTAATAATCTGCCAATGAGCACTACCCTCTAGTGGTATACACTGGTAAGACTTCAAAGACAATCTAAAAAAGTAACTACTCCAGGAATTATTTCTCTTTTCCTTCCCTTAAAGGAAAAAAAACATCGTAATTTAAGTTCAAATGTATTTTATTCAATACTTCGTCACCAAGAAAAATTCTGAGAGGCTCCTAAGAAATTGCGTTCAATTTTAAGGCTTTGTCCAAACGTACACAATTGCCAGCAAGGTGAATTGTTGGTTCAAAAAGGGGAGGGGGGAAAAAAAAAAACCAAACCAAAAGACAGACCACCTATATTTTGTACTCTTTGATAAAAATTCAAGATGCCTTCAGCTGTTGAAACGTCTGCATTTCATTTACTGCAGTGAGAATGTTCTCTGAACATTTGTCATTACAGCAGGAAAATCTAAAGAAAATGGGTAGGGACAGTCTCCAAAGAATGAAGAAATAGCAAATATTCAAAGACCCCACATTAAATGGTGGTAGCTGTAACTACCACTCTGAAAAGACAGCTATCTGGAAGTGAAGAAACCATAAGACATGCAGATCGAGGATTCATACAGAGAACACAACAGAGAAGACAGTTTTGTAGAAGAGTTACCGATTTTCATTATAAGCACAGTGATCCAGGAGAGCAGAAGTCCCATTCCTCCGCTTGCAGAAGCGCTGGAACTGAACAGTGACTACGTGCTTTAGAAAGCCACGTACATTTCCTCTCGCATTCGCTTTGTGAAATAACACGATGCCTTTCAGAGAAAGAGTTGTCACTATCTCCGTTCTACTAAGAGTGGAGAAATACAGACCAGCTGCTGATTTACCAGGGTGACAGCTGCCAAATAACTAATAGGTGTTACTGCCTATGGGCTCCAGGAGGGACTTTTGCCCTCAGGCATAAACTGCAGAAGCCTTCTGGTTGCAAGTCCCTGTCCGACCTACAAACCCCAGCATATTTAGCACCTTCAGCAGCAGACACCACCACTTCTGTTTTCTGGTGGAAGAACGTCATCTTGAGTTCTTAAAGATGTCAAGGCAGAACACGGAAAAAGACATTTATGACTAAGGTATCATGATTTCAACAGTATCTTTCACTAGTGCTTTGTCAATAATAATGTCTGCTAGCTTCTCATGCCTTTCAACTCCTACAAACTGTTTGTAATGCACGTATCCAACATCGAAAGACTATAGATCCAGTTTTAAAGATAAGGACATCTCTCCTCTGTACAACCTAAAGTATTGCTTATCCTGCTATATAAAATGTTGCAGCGTGCTTGTTACACACAAACCACATACTGTGTATCCATCTGGTGGGTTACTATCTGTGTTTTACCTAAACTGCATCAATACCATTGTCACTGAAAGGTTATATTTTCCACTGACAAACAGTCACTTAAATGTGCCAGAGAAAGATCAAACACATTTTCACACCTTGATCAGACAAATAAGTATGAAATAACAGCTGTTAATAAAAAAATAAATAAAAACCTGTACAAAAAGTATGCTTAGAACCTACGAATCTTACCTCTCCCCTCAAAAAAAAAAAGCCATCTCATTTTAAACTTGGAGCTGAGGTATACGCTGACATAACACAGACAAAAAAGCATTTGAGATGCTACTAATTTCCTCAGATTTAGCCATCTCTTCTCTAAAATGATCCACCTTCACTGTATAGAGAAAATTTCCAATACTTTCCTTCAGCTTCATTTCCCTGATACAAAGGTTAAGTTATCCGATTAGGGAACAGTCTTTCTGTGATTAACAGTAAGACTTGAATAGTAAATTGAAACAAACAGGAAAAAATTGCTAAGAAGAGTTACTCAAGTAGGTGAAGTCTGCTCACAAACCCACCCAGGCTGCTCAGTCAGCTTTAGCCAAGAAAAGAGCCTGCAGAGACACTTCGCTTCTAAACTAAAGCAAAAAAAGCTAGGATTCTATTTCTAACGATGAAACTCTCACCTGACTCGAGACGCAAATCGTCTAGTACCACAAGGAAGTTATACAAACCATTAAAATCTTTATTGTAATGCATCAGTAGGCAGGACGCTTCTGTAATTTTAATCTTAGTGTTGTTCTCAATAGAAGAGTGATTCTCACCAGGTTGCAGCTCTGAAGACATGTTCGCCTGCACCACCGTGTAGATTTTACAGCACATTACTGCACTTTCTGTGCTAGTCAACACCATAGAAGTTTATCCAACCATAGCTTAACATTTACCTATTATTTGTAAAACAATACTTTGATAAAGTATTCTTATTTGTTAGCAGGCTTTTAACTTAAAGATTTTTTTTAATAGAAACTAGAGTAAGTGATGAAAGTAGTATTAAGTTACTGGTAATTACATACAGTAAGTCATGCATATATAAGGTCTAAGATGTTTCGAAGTTCTATTTCATAAAGTGGTATCTGTAGCTAATGAGCTACACCAATTACAGAAACCAAAAGGCATAATGACCAGAAATAATTCAATTTCAGAACTCTATTTTCAAATTGAAAGATGAAAACTTTTTTCTTTTGTTTTGTTTTTGAACCCCTGATCAATTTTTCAGCTGAGGAAGAACTAGTACTTGATTCAAATTAAGCAGTAAAAATTCAGGGTAGGAATATGCATGCTATATTGTAATAAGGGCTCCTGATAGCAAAATTTATTAAAATGATCATTGATTTCAAATGTTTATCCAGTGATTTCCTCCAATTTAGCTGCTTAACTTTTTAGAAACAACCTTGGGAGCCAAACACTTATTGCTTGGATGTATTTTCCACATAATACAAATGGTTTTGCTCGATTATGTTACGTTTAGGCCATAAAGGTGTCAATTCCAGATAGACACTCCCAAAATAAACCTAGTTATTCAAAATTAAATTTAAATATATTGGGTTTGTCTTTTCCCAGTTTCTTAGAACAAACCAAGTAAGAAGCCACTGCAGCACTTTTCCCA